CACACACACACACACACGCACACACACACTTCAGAGGGAATAATCCACATCACTACAAAACTGAGAAGTGCGGTTGTTCTTTTTTTACATGCCCCGCAAATTTAAGCTTTTAGACAAGTAACGCAACACACGGACGCATATCAATCATCCACTCCCACCAAAATATCCATAAGGAGATAAATGCTCACCATGACTATTTTAAGAGTCTGATCTTATTAATGTTGTTATTGTAAAATTCCATCAAACGAAGGCTTTTTGACACTTACAACACGTATTCATATGCCAGGTCACTCATTGGTCATATACAATACGTATATCAACTCTTTAAACCCCGTAGGACGCTGGAAGCGTCCGGCCGTAATAACCATGTTCCCCATCGGACACTGGGAGCGACACATACCATTGATATTTGTTTCTTTTCATTTAGTGCTAGTTTTTTTCTTGTTTCTCGGAAGTATTTCGGAACCAAGTTTATTAGTAACGACTAAGCCTTTGTTTCTGCCATTTAGAAGTTAAAGGCAAGCTTTTGGGGTTAAAATGAGACATAGTGCGCCAGGTTTACGTGACCGTCGCAAAAAACTCCGGGAAACGGTGGAAATAACTCAGTCTGGGTGTAATATAAGTTAGTACTAGTCACAATGTCACACATTTTGTAAGTAGCACCTCAAATACATTCTCATGCAAATTAAATGTTTCTCTTTGAAAGTTTTGCTCATCTATGGCTGGTTGGCCCCTACGAGCCAGGAAGCGACTTGGGTCAAATTCCAGTATCTATGGTTATTCAAGCTAATAGTAAACTTCTGTTGGTCTAGCTTATGGAACATATGAATGAGAAAGAGAAAACAAAGACGACCAACCAACCTTTTTTAGGCTCAGGGGTGATGGGAGCTTCGTCCTCTCTGCTTTGAAGATAGTCCGGCAGAAGAAGCTCAGCGTAACGGGACATCGTTGCTGTCTTCTCTAAGTCTGAAAGGAACAACAAATGGCCATTTACACGCGTACTGAAATTGAAAGCTGTATTTGCATTCCAATGACCTGTGATTATTTAAGTTCCTTTTAAGGTCGCTTGTTTTCTTGAAAAAAAAAGAGCAACAAACTTAAAAAATATACACCCTCTGACACAGAGACAAATATGTATACAGGGTGTCCCAAACGTTGCGCACCACTCTGAAAACCTTCTCTATACACGGGAATTGGTGCATTGAAAGATGCAATAACTACAAAGAACTAACCCATCACCCCTGGAACACTCTGGCATGTAAAAGAACGCATTTTTGAGATAGTAGATGCTTATTTTGTTCCAGAGGGAGCTCAGATTAAACATTGAAACTCGTGATTACAACTTGGCAATTCCACTTGAAGGATAAAACATGATCTAACACCACAACTCATGTAATATAATTTTTATACACACCATTTCACTATATCAACCCGCCACCTGATAAAAAGCGTAACGTGACAATAATATAAGAATACGGCCTAAAATAATGAGATAATGCCTCTTGATTCGAGAGAACATAATGACCACGGCAGTGGAAAAAAAAGTTACGTCAGTGAAAGCATGAGTAGAAAGTGAGTGTGTTTTTCCTCTTAAGAATATTTTACTTCAACCGGGAGTTAAATCCAAAAGGCAACTGGCTGGTTGTCTAGATAGCCATTACAAAAAGCAAATAAAAGAGATCCACTTCTGTTAGCTGAGGTAGACGACTGGTGACAAACACCATCATGCGGACTGTTTAAACTTCAAATTTGATTTTGGATTGATCGCTTACGCATATCGTGTAATAACTGACAAAACATTTCACACAATTAAAGTGAAAGACGCAGATTCAATTCAGTGCCCCGAATAAGAGGGCGCTTTAGTCTTCAACACCGACAACAAACGTGGGATATCCAGCAGGCAGGAATGAGACTGCCAGTCAAGCATGGTTATTGCTACATCGCTAATTTGTTGTAAGTCGTCTGTGGGACGCGTGTTTCATTGTAGACATGATGAAAAAATTCATATTATTATGTTGGGGATACAAAAAGAAATAGAACATTTTATAAAACAACATCAGTGAAAAAAAATACATTAAAAATACTGCCTAGAAAAGGAGACGATTAAGGTTTGTGACCAAGAATAAGAGATAGTGTGAAGACAGTCAACATACCTGTAGACCTCAACATCCGATATTTTAGCCCCCAAACATTTAATTTTACATAGATATCTACAACAGGCTACCACACTGTGTTCATAATAAATGCCAGATATATTCTGGGACTCTTTCTCATTTCTTAAATTAAGAAAAAGCAGTTTAATTTTTAAAGAGAGATGTTTGCCTATGCATAATATCTGTTGTACTAAACAGAGTACGAGCAATGTCCCAAAATATGTAACCGTCACACAAGGTTAGCTTTCGACAGAAGGCACACCCGTCATGTAATGTCGTTGATTGCGTCGTTAACGTTCAGTTAGAGGCCATGGCCAGTTACCTAAAAATCGTTAAACACATATGTGGCTCTGTATGTCTGACCTGTAGCTATCCTGGCTCGTTCCGTGCAAATGAATGTATACATTACCGTGTGCTAAAGCAGCGTAGCTGTATCGTCTGTTTGTTGTCAGCAGAGCTGCGCGATTCGTCAGACGTGCTATTCAATAGTGTTGTAAAAATGGCGGACATGTGTCGCCTCGCTTCGTGTTTATTTTCGACAGAACTCTTCACAGATCATCGAAACCAACAAGAAGTATGTATTATTAGGTGCTTTACTATTACATATTGATGCTAGCCTCTACACTTGGCCACAAAATCACCAAGAAATGCACTTTATCATACTTTGAAACTTCGAATCGAGAGGTTTCGACTGTTGTCGTAGGCCTTGGTCTAGGCCTAGATCTAGGCTAGGTGTGCTTCTCTAGATTTAGATCTACTTTCCGAACTGCACACCCTCTTTGGCTGGGTGCACATCAAAATCTAGATCTAGATCCACGTTTATTCATTAATAAATACTTTCTCTCTCTCTCTCTCTCTCTCTCTCTCTCTCTCTCTCTCTCTCTCTCTCTCTCTCTCTCTCTCTCTCTCTCTCTCTCTCTCTCTCTCTGAGCTAAAATAAATTAATTCTAGTAGGCCTAGGCTAGACATACCGCCCGAGATGATCAGCAGATCTAGCCTTGCTTGGTAACCAATGTAAACTATCGCTGCGCGCAGCTGCAAGTGTGTTTTTTTGGGGGGGGGGGGGGGGGGCTGCACTTGGCACATGACGTAAAGAAGAGTTGTCCCGTCCTGGTATAATTGGTCTTGGATTACACAGTATCTAAATATAGCAAGGCAGACCCGTCAGTTGCACACCTACACACGTCAACACACAGTGCGGTTGTGCTGAGACTCAGCGAGTGTGCCTCGCGCTCGCTGAGACACAGGCGCCAACCCACAGTGCGGCTGTGCTGACACGCACACGGCGTGCGCCAGGCCAGCTACAGGTCAGACCTACAGAGCCACTCTGGGACCGGCTTAAGCCTATGTCTCCTTATAGGGGGTGCCCACATACGAGATCGGGTCGGTTCGCGTGTAGTTGGGGCTAGTCAAATTGAGGGCACAAAGCGGTCATCGTGGCACAAACCTATCGACTCGGTCGTGACCTACAAAAACAAACGCGTTTGTTTTTATGCCTGCGAATTGCAGCCAATCGTAACAAGGCTGAGTCACGTGTCCATTTGACTCATGAATACATTAACTAGACTTACGGTACTCTGGAAATTCCCAGTTTCGGTTTCACGCCTTTGACCGTCTTCTCACTTTTCACAGCGGGTTTGGAGCGCTCATAGAAGAAGATGGAGGATGAGGAGGAGTAGACAGAGGAGAAGATATAGGAGGAGCAGGAGGAGGAGGAGAAGAAAAAGAAGAAGAAGAAGAAGAAGAAGAAGAAGGAGAAGGAAAAGAAGAAGAAGAAGAAGAAAAAGAAAAAGAAGAAAAAGAAGAAGAAGAAGAAGAAGAAGAAGAAGAAGAAGAAGAAGAAGAAGAAGAAGCATTTTGTAGTAATACATGTTACAAAATGGGGACTTTTTAGTTCCTTACACTTCCTTGGGGGAGAGTGAGAAAGAAAGAAAGGGAGAGAGAGAGAGAGAGAGAGAGAGAGAGAGAGAGAGAGAGAGAGAGAGAGAGAGAGAGAGAGAGGGAGAGAGAGAGAGAGAGAGAGAGAGAGAGAGCGCAAAAAAAGATAGGGTGGGCCAGAAAGCACGTACAGAGGGACAAGGAGGGCGAGAGATAAGTAGAGGGACATAAATATGGGAAGTGAGAGATAAACAAGAAAGGAGAGAGACACTAAAGCAAGCAAGCAAGCACTCACACACACACAAACACACACACACACACACACACACACACACACACACACACACACACACACACACACACACACACACACACAGACAGAGTGAGACAAAGAGAGAGGGCTGTAGGCACTAAAGAAAGCAAGCAAGCACTCACACAAACACACACACACACACACACACACACACACACACACACACACACACACACACAGAGGGAGACAGAGAGAGAGGGCCGCTGACCTACTTAATATGTTCGTGGGTCAAAGGTTCAGCAAATCGTAGCCCGGTTTACGCCCTCTACTCTGTGTAGTCGCATGTAGATTAAAGGTTTCTGTACTTTAACTTCCAGGTCGTCGGGTACTATCGCGGTGGGGTTGTAGTGGGCATTGAAACCACCAGAAAACGACCCAACCCGACGACCCGACCCGACCCAACCCGATCAGATCTCTCTAGTGGACACCCCCTATAAGGAGATGATTTCTTTATAATCTTACTCGATTTATTTTATAGCGGCAAAGACCATGTCCCTGCCGGTCAATATCAGTCATATGAAGAAAATTTCAAAACTTAGTTAACTTTATTTTAAAAAACTATCACCTTTTCCCTACAATTTAAAACAAGAATGAAGTAAATAATATGACCATATTTGACGAAAATACAGAACTTTTAATAGTGCGAGGTGAGGAAACATGAAAAGGAGAAAATGGCCTCCGAAGTTGAGCAACATGTTTCCATATCAATGGGGTCTTAGAATTGAGATAGAGACTTGAAATTTAGCAGTTATCTGGGCTATGCTACTACATGGTAACATACAAAAGTAGAAAACTATTCTTTAACAGGGAAAAAACTTATGGACCAAACAAAAGTTTAACGAGAATGGACTTCACACCAAATGCAACAAAATATTACCATGATACTAGGTACCAGACACTAAATTTTCAAAGTAGCTGTATGTCAAATTCATCTGTTTCATATGAAAGGCCTTATGAGAATTTTGGTACCATACTTTTACCTTTCAGTCAATGTTTAAGAGAATGGCAGCTGTTTCAATTTAGCATAATAATAAAATATTGCTGATGTCCTTTACTGGCTGCAACCCCATGTTTGACAGAAAGTAAAAGAGTACCAAGCGTACCAAACATCTTTACATTAAAAGAGTACATGCACTATAACATAGAAATGGGGACTCTCGTGGCTTGGAGGTTAAGGTGTTGGCCTCTCATTCAAAGGTCCCGGGTTCGAATCCGGGTAGCGACCGAAAAAATTTCTACACTAAAATTGTCTCCTTTCACCTCCTTTCCTGCTCTCTAGCAATGTTCTGTTGTCTGCTTTCATTTCCACTTTCTGCCCCCACCCCCTCACCTCCTGACTCTTTCTGCAGCTTTTCTACTGCTTCTCCTTGGCTCCTCCTTACTGCTGTCTTTCTGCCACACCCCTGATCTTCTAGTAGGAAAGATCTACACCTAGCCTTCTCGGACAAGGGCGAAAAATCTCGGAGGGCCCGTGTGCAAGTTGCGCACGTTAAAGATCCCTTGGTGGTCTAAAATCGATAAGAGTAGGCTTCGGCCGCCACCCGGGCAAAAAATCAAAATTTCCTACCAACTGAAAATATTAGGTGTGTCTCGCGCGCTCATATGACCTTATGCAGTTGCGA